AAACAAATGATGTGTTCCAAATTATAATTATATGAAATTTTGATTTACTAAATTTTATACAAAGTTACAAAAAAAAAAATTTAATAAAATTGTACTAAAAATATTCTATGATATACAAATATATACATCAAATTTATAACTTCTTTTAAACATCTCAAACACCTAGTTAGAAAATTATAATATTTTTGGGTAGTGATTTACCTCTATTACAGTATTTGACATTAAAGTCAATTGCCTAATATAAGAGTTTGTATAACTTGCAAATATTTTTAAAGCAACTCAATAAATTTGAATAAACCTTATCGATCACACAAACACAATTACTCAAGGAAATGAGTACAATAATAACTATAAAGCCCCAGCTACTTATTAAAGAGAATGCCGAGTTTCTTATTAAAATTATTATAGTGATCGATGATATTAAAGTTTTAACAGTTAAATTGAATAACAATAACAAATTAAATAATTAATGAAAAATATTTAAAAGTTATAAAGAGATAAAAATAATAAATAATATTAATTTTACAGATGAAGTTGTACCAATTAATATTAATGATAAAAAAAATTATAAATTAAAAGAAATTTTAATTAAAAATAAATTTATTTTAAAAAAAGCCAAATTAGTATAATTTAATAAAGAAATTTAAACTTGAATATAGGCAAAATTATGAAAAAAATAAAGATAAAGTGGCAAATAAAAAAGCTTTCATTATCAAAGATTGCAAATTTGATTTGTTTGAAGCAGATAAATATTATTATAATAAGAATTGACTTGAAATAAAAGTTTATTTCTAAAAGCACAAATAGAAATTCTCTTTGATACAAGTTTAGGTTTTTTGATAGAATCAGAAAAGAATTCACAAGACTATTCTAAAACAGCATTAACATTTTATGTTGAGAATTTTGGCAAGACAGAAATTTCTATTGAAGAACAAAATGTCGAGCTTATATCAGAATTCCAAAATGAAGTAAAAAAGACAATTGAGTCACAAAACCCAAAAAAAAAATTAATAAAATTATCACAAAATTTGGCTAATTTATTTCTACTACAGTCCTATTTGAAGAAAAACATTATTATAATATACAACAAATGTGACTAAAAAGTTAGCTTGTGACAGTAAAGAAAGCTTGATGAACTTCAGTATTTATAGACAAGATCCAGAATTTCAGATTAAGTCTGGTACAAGTAGTGAAGGTAAAAGTATTATACAACACAAAGCCTTAGCTATTTTTGGATAGGATAAAAGAAAAATGTATAATAGTAAAGAAGTTGAATGAAAAATATCTTTACAAGATTTTAGATATTAGAAACCAATTGAATTTTACAAAACTGTAAGCATGTTTGAGTTCTTAGAAAAAAATTTAAAAAAGAAATAAAAGAAATTATTAGAAAAAGAATTACAGATTTGAATTTAATAATTTATATAACATATATTAGCAAATTTTAAAGTGCGAAAAATTTTAAAAAAATTTGCATAATGAAAAAATAATGAAAAAATGCACAAAAATTTTTAAAAGTTTTCAAAAAAATAGTTTTTCAAAAAATTGCGAAAAATATTTCAAAAATTTTTGAAAAAATAATCAAAAGTATTTGAAAAATAATATTTCAAAAAATTTTGAAAATAATATAAGCTAATGCTTCCTACAAGCTTTCTTTGTCTTTTTTTATAATTTTTTATAATCAATACCTGATTCAATATTAATACTATCAAGCTTATTTTATAGAATTATTAAACCCTTCAATAGCATTTTTCAATATTCATTTTCTTGAATTAATCAAAATAAATTTAAAAAAGAAATAATAATAAGACTAATTCTTTTAATAGTTATAACTTTAAGATGCTTATCATGAATACAGATAATTAATATATTATTTGAAAAATTTTAAATATAATAAATTATATATTATTAAATAAATGCTTATGCAATATATGTATATATATTATAAATAGTTTTTTTTTTTTTTTTTTTTTAAATATTAAGGTGACTACTTTGGGGTCTGGTACAGTTTATTAACTTTTTAGTTCAATTATCAGAATACTAAATAGGCACCTCTTGACTTTGTTACATTAATAAGAGTACAATTGGTCACACGTATAACTTTAGTCATTATCTAATTAAGAACTCTGCTATATCTATTTCTATCTATAGTTACCTACCAATTGCCATATCTAGGATCTGCTTGTAGATCCTCTATTTAAACTCTCTGATCGACTTAGCGCTATCATATACTTTTTCCAGAAGAATTTCTGCTACTAAGGCCCTTAGAACTACTTTATCCTTATAGTAAACCTACCAGAGCAGTCCATATTTTACATATATATCATCTAAGTTTTTTAGAAATATACGCTCCAATCTGAGAACTAGAACTTACGATCTTCTGCATCACTACTATAATCTACTTCTTGCCCTTTACAAAGTTCGTTCTGATTCTGATATCTACTTCCAACTGGTCCTTATACTGATCTCTCTCCAACTACTAAACCAGTTAGCTCAGAAGAATTATTGCAACTAAACACTAAGTACCTTTTGGTTTTACTTCCCTTAGTTCTGAATTTTGTAGTATTAGATCTTTTTCTCAAGTGTGACTCTAGCGGCCAGGTTGGTGGACCCTTCTTGCCCCAGGGTTGTTCGTCCGATTCTTTGGTCTCTGGTTCTGGTTTTCTGTAATATCGTCAAAGATCTTCACTACTCCTAGCTTAGGTTTTGCCAAACGG